TTCTGCAATGTGGTACATTTTGTATAAAAGAAGAGTGATGTTGATAAATTGATATAATTACTCCTGTAACTTTAAAAAATGGTGTGTTAAAAATAATTTGTTTTTGAGTGCTATGAAAAAGGCATCTAATAATTCTGTTCCCACCAAATTGGATAACAGGACGACTTTTGGTCCGATCCAAATACTTCTATTGCGAAAGCCTATGAAAGAACCGATCAGGCAATTCTCTCGCATACTCCTGACCTGGGACGAGGTGGATCCACTGCTGTAACTGCAATTCTTGTAAATAGTCAACATCTATGGGTAGCCAATGTTGGAGATTCACGAGCAGTCCTTTCAAAAAAGGGGCAGGCTACACAAATGTCCGTTGACCATGAACCCAACACAGAGCGGGGTAGCATTGAGAACAGGGGCGGATTTGTCTCTAACATGCCAGGTATTGTGATATGTAGATCATTTCATACTAGTCCTTGCAATTATCCACTACTTATCTGTATTAATGATATTGCTTCTAAAAGATGAGGATTAACCACCGAGTTGCCAATGTAAGAACCAATTGCAGAAGTGTGACACCACCCTAAAGATAAAAAGAGTCGCGCAATGATAATTGAAATTAGAAATATTACTCTATTCTGCATGCACTGTTGACTTCACTGACTTGAGAAATATATTCTTTAGACCAAATAATGTGCAGCGTAGTACAATTCTAGGATCTTGTCATTGCCTAAAACGAGAACCTCTAAAATTCACATGAATTTTATAATGTGATGTTATTTAGCCTATTTTTGGCCTCCATTTTTTAAAAAATTTTATTTTTCTCAAAACTCATTTTCAACCCACATTCTCCCATAAAATAATTCCTGTTAATTTTTTTTTTATTTTTTAACCACACATTCTTCGAAAAATCACTATTCATAAACACATTTCACCCCAGAATGGGGCTGAAACAAGGGCTGAATTATAGCTATCTCATATATATAGCTGAAATAAGCATTTCAGATTATTTAAAACACGCGTATTATATTGACTGTGCTCTGAGACAGCTTATTTCAATGGGAGACCAGGCATAGTGACCTAACCTGGGGCAATCCAATTATTGCCATCCTCCTAACATAAGATTGAACTATGCCTATCTCTCCCAACTTCTCAATGCAGGGTCTTCCTTTATATGAAACTTTAATTAGTCATGTCATAAATATTTCTTTTGGTCTAAATATGTCGGGTGGCTTTGTAATTCTGATGGATATAGTTTTTTCTTTGGGAACGAGATAAGTCTATGTTGGATCTGAATTATGACTGGTAACTTTCACCAAAATAATGGATGAAAGTTTCACTTTTTCTTTCTTTTTTTTTTTTTTGGGTGGTTTTTGAACCTTAGTAGCTGAATGTTGCACTTGGCTAGAGCTAGAACATTGCATTTGACATGCACTGTCTAAAAGCTAAAGTCTTGAGAATTTAGTTGAACTGAGGAAGGCGGTGGAAAAGGATAGGTTTTGGACAAGGTCCAAATGGTATATGCAGTGAACCTATTGGCACTCGATTTTTTGGGGGATCTCCATCTGTGTTATATGCTAAAAACTTGTCCATGGTTTTAGGTTAAAGCAATTTCGAAAGACAGCATGCTTGGTGGTGAATATGTAGATTCTTTGCATGATTTGTTGATAAAATAGGATATGCATGATCTCTTCATTCTTCTACTAACAAACTTGGTGATATGTTGATAAAATAATTTTTTGATCTTTGTATTTTACGCACAAATTATTCACTTTTCTAGAATTGCTCCTGCGACTGATTAATATGCATACAGAATTCATTTACTGTAGAAGACACACTTGTGCTAAAACATTTATTTTGTTTGATTGCGTCCTTGTTCTTCCTGAACTTTTGGACTAGATCAATTTATTGCTGTACTCATTCAACATGGAGCATATTTTGCTTGGTGTCGAATCACATTATTATGGACTGCTTAAGGTATTCAAGTCATAAAAACCTGTTCTGATGCTTCTTATACCAGGAGATGTTGCAAGAGTGGATGGCCAGTTAGCAGTTTCTCGTGCTTTTGGAGACAAAAACTTGAAAACTCACCTGCGATCTGACCCTGATATTACAGACGCTCCAATTGATGGGTATACCGAACTTCTTATCCTTGCTAGCGACGGTTTGTGGAAGGTGCCTACTTGCTTCCCGACCTTTACTTGTCCCATCTCCTCCTTTTCCTTCTGGATTTATAACCAACCCCCATATTGGGTTCGTCTTGGTTGTGGATGCTCCAGGTAATGTCGAATCAAGAGGCTATTGATATTGCGACGAAGATGAAAGACCCACAGAAGGCAGCCAAACAATTAGCAATGGAAGCATTGAAAAGAGAAAGTAAAGATGATATCTCCTGCATTGTTGTCCGATTCAAGGGGTAAAATGCACAATCTTAATGTTTCATGCAGCTGTTGTATATTAGGCGGTTACCAGAAGACATGATTTGGTAGGTTGCAGAAGTTTGAAATCCCAAAGAATCCAGTACAAAAATCAAATTTATTCTGAAAGGCCGTGAAAATGATCTGTTTCCTTTTCTTATATTTATTCTCTCTTATTTTCCAGTCTTCTTTGTAGAATTTCACTATAATTTTTTCATAATTCATAGCCGGGTTGTATTTGTAATAATCAAAATAGGACAAGCTTTCTTTCTTTCAGCCATATATCAAGAAGATGGCCATTTTGGCTTTGCTTCATTGTTTGTGTACTCTTTAAAGGATACAGATTACTAACCGTTCAGTATTTACCTCTGTTTGATAATTATTATTTCAAAATTTTTTAATTTTCACTCTCATTTTTAATCATTCGTTCAAACTATAAAATATTTTGCACGTAGATTCAAAAAAATTTCAAT